GGTGTCCACGCTACTAGACCCCCGGTATAAGCAGAAAGTGCCTGAAATGTTACCGAATTACGGCAAGTCGGAAAGGATGCAGCAGTTCCAAAATCAATTAAAAAGTATGCTTTGCACAGCATATAAAGGTGATGTCACAGCACAACGGGAATCTAACAGGGGAAGAGGTGAAAGTAATCCTCCTCCTCCCACGACCACGCCAGCAAGGACAGGACGCTTTACAGACGTGTTGTTGATGGAGGACATGCGGAGCTTTTTAAGTCCTACGCATCGCCACAGACCTTCGGGGTCCACCCTCAGAGAACGACTCGACCGACAGGTAGCAGACTACCTCGCCTTAACTGCAGATATCGACACTCTGAGGAGCGATGAACCCCTTGACTACTGGGTGTGCAGGCTTGACCTGTAGCCTGAGCTATCCCAATTTGCGATAGAACTTCTGGCCTGCCCCGCTTCAAGTGTCCTGTCAGAAAGGACCTTCAGTGCAGCAGGAGGTATTGTCACTGAGAAGAGAAGTCGCCTAGGTCAAAAAAGTCTAGATTACCTCACCTTTATTAAGATGAATGAGGGATGGATCCCGAAGGGACTGACAGTGGGCGATACATTCGACTAAAAAAGGCCTGATTAGTGAATAACATAAAAATACAATTACAAAAATATAATAACGAATAAATAAAAAATAGTAACAAAGTGCAATAAGTTAATGTGAGAATATAGAAGCGTAGTCTTCTATGATCTGGTAGTGCTAGAAATTCACAGGAAACAGAGCCCAGACTTGACCCTATATTGCAGGCACACAGATAAAGTAGGACTGGAGGAAGCGAAACGCGTCTCAAAAAATTCCAGATGTTAAGAAAGGAGGAAGAGACATGGCATATGCTAATTGGCGGATAGCCAAACACTTTGAAAACAATAGCAATTAATTTTCCTCTTGATGTGAGTCTGCAGAGCAGTGTTTAATATAGCAGGATTATAGTAGATAGAATATGAGATATATTTTCCAATATTCACATATATTGTTTCTACAATTATTAACATTCAGAATCCGTCCATTCAGAGACTTAATGAACTTCTTTGCACTTCTTTTTTCCTGAACTAGGAAGAAGACAATCAAGTTTTGATGGCTTTTTGCTTGGCCTACTATTGACTGTACTCCGACGTCGTCTATTAAACCTAATGTCCGTCGTTCTTATCACATTCATTCCTTCGTCTTCCGTTAGATGAATCTTCTCTCTGAGTCTCATATTCTAGAAATAAAATAGATTGATCTTTTATATGTCTTAATTAAGGTTTTACTGAACTTATCATTTTTTATGGCAGATTTGTAACGTAGTTCATATCCTGAATTAACATCTTCCGATAATAATAGTTTTGCCTCTGCTGGTTAATGTTACAGACCAGGCTGCCCAATCCCTATGGGCTTATGAAAGCAGAGCAAAGTTTTCATGTATCATTGAGCAAAGCCATGGATAGAAAGTTAAAATGGTGGACATAACTCTTCTTCGATTACTGGATTTGGACAGCCTTGTATTAATAAACCCATTATATAGATGATAGGTTCAGCTTTTTTATTTTAGACTAAAGACTGTTCCATATCATCCTGTAATCAAAACATATTTATCCACATTGTACAAAAAACAAACAGCTGGCACCCGTTCTCTGAATTACAATGTACCTAGATAAGAAACCCAACTCTTTCTCAATGAGAAGTAATCTGTTATCGACAGCCTTCTGATTGGATGGAACATACTGGTTACTTTCTGGATCCTGGGAATTGGAGAGAAGGGAAGTTGATCTGACTGCATGTATCACACCAAACAGCAGGACGAGGACATGCAGATACATTGTCCTACTGAGATATTGCTCCCTGTTGGCAAAACCGTACACTTCCTAATGTGAGCATAGATTGTCTTATAAAGGTTTCTTCCTGGCAGGGCCGCCATCAGGGCATGACAACCGTAACGGGAGGGAGGAAATTTGAGGGGTGGAGAGGAAGGGAGGAAATT